CCCCCCCCCGCCGCCGCCGCAGTGGAAGCGCGGAGTCCTAACCACTGGACCACCAGGGAATTCCCATGTGTTTAATTATTTTATACTTTGGGTTAAAATCCCACATGATGTTATCTATTTTGTTGCTCTAAGTGTTCCAGCTTTGGCCCCTGGGAGCTCTTTCAGTTAATTCCTTCCCACATCCCTTGGACATACCCCCATAACTGTGTGTCTTTCTCTTTTTATTTCTGTTTTGAGCACTTTCTGACCTTCTGGCTCTAGAAGATGTTCCAGGTTCATCTTATATATTCATTGCCCCAGCCAAAATCAGCCATTTCTCCAAGGACCCTGGTTCCTATTTTGGAAAATGATATTAGAAACCAACAACTGGGCACTGAGTGTGATTTTTGTTACTGGCTGATGCTGATTTCTAACCAAATAAAATAATTGAAAATATTTAGAGCCAGAGAGATATGGGTTTTTGCTACCTGTATTACTTTGTGCAAGTTACTATGTCACATTGGATCTGTTTCCTCATCCACGTGTAAGAATAATGAACATCACTCAAAGGGTTGTTGTGAGGTCAAGTGAGATAATATTGAAGGGACTTTCTATTTCTGATATTAGAGAGCTAGGTTTTCTTTTTCTACACCTTTAAAGCATCAATGATCTGACAATACAGTAATGCAAAAAGTTAAGGGAAAATGGGAACCAAGAGAAATAAACAAGTAAGAAAATTGCGTTTGCCATGAAGGCATTTGTCATTTCCAGCAAATCTGAATTTTCACTCTGACAGCCTCATGGTGATTGCGGTGGAGCAGGGAGTGATGATAGTGAAAACCAGGGCCAGCACTAAGCAAGAAATTTAATAGACAGTAAGCTGGATGCCAAAGAGCTATAACCCCGGGGGAGGGTAAAGAAATTGCTGCCCTTATTTGAACTCTCTGAGGCTTCCAGAAAACATCAAACCCTGAATTTGGTTTAGGGTGGGTCTCAAGCTGAGAGTCCCTTCAGACGCCTTGCAAGGGCAAGAAGATACCTTCAATATGCCCCTCATATTAATCTTACAAATCATTTCCCAAGAACAATGGCTAGCACACATCTAGGACATCTTGAGCACTCAGCCCCAGCGGACGCCACGTGGGGCAGAAGAACCATCTAGTGGAGCCCCGTCTAGACTGCAGAGTCATGAGAAACGAGAAATGGTGGTTGTTTTAAGCCTCTAAGTTTTGGGGTTTTTTGTTACATAGCAATAGATAACTGAAGTGTTTTTATACATGCTTTTTGTCATAATTGCTGCCTCCTCAGAAGGAAAAAGATGCTTCCAGGTTCTTCCGAGCCCATTATAGTTTTGCTCCGGCAGGCTTCTCCAGGTTTGTCTATCACTTAAGACTTCAACCAGACTGGTCTTTTCACTGTCTCTTAACGTGTCTGTCCCAAGTACTCCCATTTCTATGATTTTGCTCACTTCACCAACCCCATATGAAGGCTCACCTGCATTTCCCCCTCCTCAGTTGAACCACCACCTCCACTTTGAAATTTTCCCCTCTTCCAGGTCTAGCAAAGAACGCCATTAATTCCAAAGTGACCTCTGTCCTCTGAACTTACTCTTGTGGCCAAGTTCATTGGAAAGGTCCACTCCCTCGTGTTGTTGTGTTATTTGAAGGCAGTTTCGTGTCCCCAGCTATAATGAGCTCCCTTGAATGCAGAGACTGACGATATACCTGTCTGTGTTTCAGCATCTAGCAGGGGGCCTGGGAGAGAGAGGGAACCCAGAAAATGTGTTGTATAGATGATTATGCTGTTTAACAGTCTTTTTCTAAAGCAGCAATTATGGTGATGATTCACTGGCTCTATCTTCATTTTCAGGTGCTCTGTGGCTGTCACACTGAACTCCCATTGCAACCACTGACAAAAATACCACCAGGTCTTTTTTCTAAATACAAAGAATGAGTTAATAGGCTTTCGTAAGAAGTAAGAAAATGAAAATCACTTCATACCCTTTTTTTTTTTTTTTTTTTGCCAGCACTTTTGATTTCTTCCTCTCCTTTACATGTGAGAAGTTCATACACGGTGAATCACTTCCCTGTCACTTAAACTCTGAAGTGTAATACGATCACGGTAGGCAATGAAAACGTGTATGTGAAGTCTCAGAGGCGCAAAAATTTGTGAGTGGAAACCGATAAAAGATTGGCAGGACTGTTTCCTAAGAAAGCAAAGAGCCGACAGCTGAGGCACGAAGGGTTTCTTCTGCACCCCAGGGATTCTTACCTGACGCCTAATCTTCATGCTGGCCAGGGGAGTCAAATATTTATGTTCTAGATACGAGGCTCACTCCTGGAACGCCAGGTTGGTTCCATATAGCAGACAAAACTAAGGGGTGGGGGAAGAGGAGAGAAATGGAAAAATATGTTAGAAAACGCAGAATCTAAGGAGGCGAATGAGAAATAGCGTAATATTACATTTCCTAAAATCATAAAAGTTAATACATACTTACTGTAAATGGTCATATTTTGTTTTTTTAAATTTTTATTTTATATTGGAGTACAGTTGATTAACAAATGATGTGTTAGTTACAGGTGTACAGCAAAGTGATTCAGTTATACCCATACAAGTTTCTGTTCTTTTTCAAATTCTTTTCCCATTTAGGTTATTACAAAATATTGAGCCAAGGTCTCTGTGCTATACAGTAGGTCTTTGTTGGTTATCTATTTTAAATATAGTAGGGTTTACATGTCAATCTCAAACTCCCAATCTATCCCTCCCCCCCCCCCTTTCCCCCTGGTAACCGTAAGTTTGTTCTCTAAGTCTGAAAATGCTCACATTTTGGACATGCAGTATATGTTTTATATTTTGAAACCACTCTATGGAGAAATTTAAAGCATATATAAAATTAGAAAAAAATGGCACAACCGACTTCCATGTCTCCATCCCTCCCAGTTCAACAAATATTAACTCACAGCCAGTCTTGCTTCATCTGCAATCTCATCTAAGTCTTCCCCACCCCAGGTTACTTAGAATCAAAGTCCACTCATAATACATTTAAAAAAATAAATGTAATATTTCTGTTTGCTTTCTTTCTCGATTCATGAAAGAATATTCTAAATGCACATTCTGAATAATATCATCTTGATATTTTCCATTGAGCATGGTTGGATTAGACTTTCATAAAAATAGCATTCCTCATTTGCATTTTGTTTCAATACGTTTTTCCTATCACGTTTCTGAAACCGACACGCAGACCCCCGTCATGACATCAGTGGCATCCAGCAATAACAGATGAGTTTTCCTGTATTAACAAGTAACTTTTTTTTTTGTATAATGCAAAAAAAATACACTCAAATTGCCTATAGCAACTATAAAAGGTAATGATGCAATGCATTTAATTACTGTTTAGTAGTGCTTTTTATTTGAGCATTTCAAAGTATTAGTAAAAGTGTCATATTTCTATGGACTTAAATAAAAATGAGCTAAATGCAGAATTGTTAAATGAGAATTTCAGAAGTCTTTACAATGAACAAGTAACTTTTAAGTTAACTATTCTTTAGCATTTCATATTTAATAATTCCAAAATTATACAAACATAGAGATAATAGTATAAGGTACCTCCAGGTCTATATCATCCAGCTTTAACAGCTATCAACTCATAGCCAATCTTGTTTTATCTCTACTCCCACCTGTTCCCCCCTTTCCATATTATTGTGAGGCAAAGTTCAATTGTTATCATCTCTAGGTTTGGAGGGAAGAGAGCTATGTCGATCCTGGAAGAGAAAGCTATGTTGACAGGGTCCCCTTAGAGGAGCTGTGACCTTCAGCCAAGGAACACAGAAACCCCAAGGTGATCCCACAGGAAGGCGGGCAGGGGGCAGGGATATCCCAACCTCATTCTGCTCCCCATCTCCAGTCTCTAGCTGGGGCTTCCTGTTCTCAGAACCTAACTGGATCCAGAGGGCAACGATTCCTCTGATGCAAGTTACGTAGATCAATTTCCTGGGCCCAGAGCAGGGTGGAGAAGGGTGGAGAGTAGAGCTGAAAAGGCAAAGGGAGGATGTCTGGCAAAATCCCATCTCTAACACCCCGACAGGTGGTCATCCAGCCTCAGTCCGGTCCTATCTCAAGTTCAAGTTCACTTGGTCCCCCACAGCCCCGACTGCTGACACCATGCCCACGTTTCACCCCAGAGGGCCAGTGTCACACTGCGCTGCCTATGTCTGCTCTTCCCTTCTGTCGACTCCTGACTTGTGCTCCTGTCGACAGTCTGTGGCTCTTGTGTATCTGATGCTCAGGGCCACTTTTCTGCCTTTGAACTTTTTCTTTTCTCCTTGAACACAGTTCGGACTCTCCTTTGGCTACCCTCTTTTCTTGTCCCGGGAAACAGGCGTCCTGGTTCTTGGTGGCGACCAGAACACCACCTGGAGGTCCTGATACCATCAGCCCAGCCTCAGGTCCTCAAACGGAACCTGAATGTGTTTCCTTTTATGTTTCAGAGATGGGAGCTCAGTGCATTAAGAGGCATCCAGTTCTCCAACCCACTGTTGGAAGAACCATTGCACACTGAACCACTTGCCTATGCGGAACATGAATTTATGGGTTGTTAACTCTGTCGGAAAGGGATCTTGTCCTGCTCATCTCTGTATGCCTAGGGTCTGGGAAAAAAGCTGATACACTGTAAGAGATTGGCTGACATCCAATTTCCTGTATACCTAATAGCTATTAATCCTGTAACTTCTGCTGCCTAAGGAGCAAAGCAGGAGTGTATCAAAGTGGCCAGATAACAACCCTTAACAATTTAAAGATAAGTTTCACATCTCTGCTTAGGCGTTCTTTCTTCAGAGGATCAACCTTCACAGACTGCCATTTTCTCACAACGCAGCTTCCAGCTCTTGTGCCACTTTGGACCTGGTGGCCTCTTCTAAATGCTTAATTCTCTCCTTCAAGGTGTCTCACGGGACTGAACACAGTGTCCAGATGTTTTCTCATCGCTGTAGTGTCAGTAGCACCATCGCTGTCCTGGTTTGGGACTCTATACTTTTACAAGCAAAGGGAGATGGAATTTGCTTTTAAGACAGTCACATGTTTTCTGAAGAAATGAGTGAAAGAATATAATGCAATTTGGTTTACATCAAATGTTTGCTCAGGTAACACTCCTACTATGCCTTTTCTCCTATGAACCGTTTTCATCCAACCCATACATACACATACACATCCCTAAAGGGATGATTTTAAATTTATTCTCTTAAAGTATCATCTTGTTGATATGACTTACCTCAAGTCCCCAAAATCTCTATGAATATTGATTCAGTCACCTCATGTGTTTATGTCATTTACAGATTTGTCAGTCCCATCTTTGTTTTTAAATCGTAGAACTCAACTGATAGGTCTATATCTATTCAATCAAGTATTTGAGAATCTATTTAACAGACTCTCATCTAACTCATATTTCTCTAGCTTGTATATAAGGATAGCCTAAGAGTCTGGAAAGTGCTGTGCAAAATCAAGATACATCGGGCTTCCCTGGTGGCGCAGTGGTTGAGAGACCGCCTGCCGATGCAGGGGACGCGGGTTCGTGCCCCGGTCCGGGAAGATCCCACATGCCACAGAGCGGCTGGGCCCATGAGCCACGGCCTAGGAGCCTGCGCGTCTGGAGCCTGCGCTCCGCAACGGGAGAGGCCACAGCAGGGAGAGGCCCATGTACCGCAAAAAAAAAAAAAAAAATCAAGATACCTCAACTTCCCCAGATTTTGTCTTCTAGCAACCTGATTAAGAAAGGAAATAAGATTAGTTTAGCAAGGCTTAGCCACAGTGAGCACAGACACGCTCCTAGTGACCATCTTTTTCTAATCACTCATAAACTATCTTGAATAGCCTTTTCTAGCATTTTAACTTGGATTTATAAACTCTATAGTTTCCCCAATCTATTTTTCTTTCTTTCTTTTTTTTAACGTGGACATTTGCTCATTTACAGTTTCCTGACATCTCTTTTGTCCTCCTTGGTTTCAAATGTCTCACAACTGTGTCCTTCCCAATTCAGAGAGAAGATGGGGACATTCTAGGAGACAAGTATGTCTGCTTTCTGTTTGCATTTATTAACATCAAAGCTTTCTTCCCCAGACCAGGCGTCTGTCTCTTCAAACTCTGAGTGTAGCTAAAAATAGCCTTTTAAATCTTCATCAGATTATTTGTCAAGCCTCACATTATGGTGGGATTTGACCATCCTGACATTTACTAAATGCTACCCTTTTGTATTTATTCCTGGACAAGCATCTCCCCCCATCACTATGCTTCTCATTTATGTAGCTTCCTTAGACCTATGGCCATCAGAGAGTCCTCTCTACACTTATCTTGGTTTCTTTAAATGTGTCCCAAATTACACCTTTTTTTGGTATCTGTTGTATTGTCAGAGTAATATTTTACTGTTTTTCTTACTCTCAAGCCCATGTGCCCCTATGAAATCTCTGCCCGTAGGATCATAATAACCAATATTTTTTAATCACCTACTATGTGCCAGGCACTGCAAGGTAGTTTACATTCACCTCATTTAGTCTTCACAATAATCCTGAATGTAGCCATAACTCCTGGACAGAGTAAATGGAGAAGCTATTTGAGGAACTGAAAAATAAATATTGATAGCAGGCAGATTTGGGAAGAAGACTAAAATTCAAAGTACCACCGAACAGGTGATGAGGTGATGAGTTTAGTTTTTTTCCCTAGTCTTCAAGCTGCTTGTCCCTGGAGACGGGCGTGCATCAGACCAAGATAAATAAGCCCCAGATTCCGGAAGGAGGATGGAAAAGGGAGCCCTGGGGAACCAGAGAGTACCGTGGAGGTCATGGAGACGGGTTGCTTGGGAAAGTAAGCCCATAAAGTTGTTTATGGACTTCTGGGTTCAACCCCAGGTGTACATACACGGATCTAACACACATCAGTACACAAAACACTTTGAGAACTGAACTAGCAAACAGATGAAAATGCAGGTGCCAGACTGGCCACTGTGTGGTGCATACGTGGGACAGAACAGAATAGTACAGCAGAGGCTTTGAAGACTAAACTGACATTGAAACCACAGTGAACAGAAGGTGAGTTGCAATTTGCAGCCCAAACAACCAGATACATTCATTGCTGAAACAAAAATATTAACGTTCGCGATGGGATTTAAACAAGACCCAGGATCTCATAACATAATATTCAAAATGTCTAGGAAATGGGCAAGGCCCTGGTGGTCCAGGGGTTAGGACTCGGCGCTTTCACTGCCGAGGGTCCAGGTTCCATCCCTGGTCAGGGAGCTAAGATTCCGCAAGCTGTGAGGTGCAAAAACCAAAATGTCCAGGAAATAATTTTTTAAAGTTCAGCATGTGAAGGACAAGGGAACTGTA